ATAGCAGTATGATAGTCAAACGTCGGATTTTCACTGCTAGGGTTCGAATCCCACGAATACCATCATATATTTTTATAAAAGATATTTTTAACAAATTTTTTTTCTCTCTCAGAAAAGTTTTTTTTCTCATTTTTTCATAATTTTTTAAAATGAGAAGTTAATTTAAATACTCAATTCACAAAATGGCTACAGTCACTAATTATCAGTCCCCTCTGTGGGGAGTTAAATTCGTCATCGGAGTATGTTTCCATATCCAGAACTATATATGATTAATCAACTGTTGATTGATTAACGTCCTTGTACAATTTATTATTCAAACTTCGTCACCACTAATATAAAATGCTATGTGTAAAAATAATTTTGCACAATACATTACAACAAAATTACATGTAAGTGCTTTGAAAACATTAGTCATAACTTTTGAATTGGAATAGATAAGGCTTTCATAAAAGACCGTTCCAAATACACTCTAATAGTTTACCCCGTGCCATTGACCTTGGAGTTTTACCTACAAGTTTTAACATTACTTTTACCTTGGGCAAAAGAAAAAAGGCTTTAAAATTTCCCATGTACATTACTAATGACAAAGCCTTTCAAATATAATCTGATTTTTGACCCTTTACTACTACTTTTGAATACTTGAACAAAGGCGTTTCCAAACATACTATCATAATGTTTTTGACCCTATGATTTTGAAGATTGGCCTATTTTTTAAAAATAAATAATATTTGGCCATTACTTTTGAATCGCAGGTTATAAACACTTTCTCATTTTGATTGACCTATTTGAAAAAATAATATTGACGATTACTTTTGAATCAGAAGTGATAAACACTATCCCATATTTTGTGTGCAGCTGAACAGAGCGTATGTTGTGAACATTTTAGCATGATTGTAATGACTCTGAAATATTTTCTAAGTTTCTGCATGAGAAGAAGTATTTATCTTTGTGACCTTGACTCTGGCCAGTCAAGGTTAACTAAACAAGATCCAAGGACAGAAAGCTTTTCAGTGGTAAAGACACTTGAAAAAGACGTAGGGAAATTCAGGTATAAGCAAGTCTAAATAAAAAAAAATGCATATGACTTTTTATTTTAAGTTGTATATTGTTACATTCATGTAAAGACAATAAAAATTGTGATTTATATTAATATTTTGTAAATGCTAATTTTTAAATACATAATTTATTCGTTTATCGTGAATGAGCATTTTTATTTGTTTAGTATTCTTTTACATCCCAAGGAAGAATTTTTTGTGCCTTGTTATATAGTCAGTACTCACTGATAAGTACTATATATAGCAACATACACATTTTCCAGCAACTCCATTTAGGGACCGATACTGCAATGACCAATCATCAGCTGGAACGGGGAAGGGGCACGGTGTGTCATGCATTGGGGAAAGGGAGTCATCACTCTTAACATTCTTTACTCATATGATCGTCTCAAATTTGTAGAATCTTATTTGTTGTGGAGTCCATTTCTTTTGCGATTCTCATTCTCTCCTTCCGACGGTCATGACTTCGATTATCTTCATGTGCTTTTTGACCAATCAGTGCTTTTGCTTTTCTTTCTGAAAGCGGTTTTTATTTGCAGATGGACAATTCTTGTCGTCCACCATAGGAAGTGTTGTGTTTTGTACGACTATGATCACCATCACTTTTACTTTTTGTCATCTGCTCAACAGACATTACTGTGGTTAAGCCTTGACAAGACTTATTTTGTCTAGATGTAATCGGTATTTCCGTAGATCTGTGGTCAAGGTGGTACATCTGATTTCCGATGAGGTTGACACCAGTTCCGTTTGATTTTGGGGGTCTTCTTTGCTCAGCTTTCAGTGGAAATTTGGCAAGAAGCGGAAAAGAGGTTGTGAATTCGTGAGAGCGCATGCTCTGATTGATGTGAATGTTCCTCCTGGTATAAGGATGGCAGCTTGCAAGACGAGTTCGTCGGACTGGTAACTTTGGGACTAATGTACACCTCTTTTCCAATTATTTGCAACTCTGGGAAACTAATAGCTTTTGCCCGGTGATTTTCTTGCATGAATTTAGACATATTTACAACAGCATATTTCTCTTCGCTGGTTAATTTTATCTCTTTTAGAGGTTGTGGTTTTGGAAACCTGACCGCGTCTGTTTCTAATTCACGGAACTTTTCTTGCTCTTTTGTCATTATATTTCTTTCATGTGTTTTCAGTAGTATTGGATTTACGTTGCCAACAAATAAAAGTCAAATTAATAATCTTTTCAATTTTCATCTCAACTTACTTTTTTTCGATCAGTTCATATTTTTTAGACAATAGGATTCACCTCATTGTAAGCGTAAATTCCATTTAAAGTGTTTCGTTTTAATCGAGTTTTACTGTATATATAAGTTAATATGTAAGACTCCAAGGTCTGATGGTGACGCCAAAGCCCGATTGTCTCGCCAAACCCCGATGGTCTGCGCCAAACTCCGATGGTTTGTTGTCGTCATGGACGCCATAGTCCGATGGTCACGCCAAATTCCGATGGCTTGTTTCCTATGAGACACGTTGCGCTAAAGTGCGATGGTCTGACACGCCAAAGTCCGATGGTTAGGAGAAACAATCGACGTTTATGACGTTATAATAATATGACGCCAATCCTTGACGCCTTTTTCATGCATTCAAATGCCATCATTTCCGAATTTATCCTTGCATAAGCTTTTATTTATTTTGGGTATTGCTTACATGTTTCAGAGATATTAGGATTAATTAATCCTCGCACACCACTCAACTGATTAGGGTCAGTCCTTTAAATTAATTAGATACAGGTTTATAGTCCTCACACACTAGTCAAGTTACATTGTATAAGGGTTAGTATCGCACCCACCACAGATATCTAGATATCTATGAACCTGTTATGCCTACTCACTTTTCTACCAATAAGGGTTAGTTTTGCACCTATCCGAGAGATAAGGATTAATTTTCACACAATGATAAATGTTAATACTTTTAAAATAAAAACCTTTCCATGGTGCGGCTTCGTGGTTGGCGCATCAGTACTATGACGTCATAAACGTAATTGTTTCTCCGCACCATCGGACTTTGGCGTGTCAGACCATCGGAGATTGGTGCAGACCATCGGACTTTGGCGTGACCATCGGACTTTGGAGTCCCATCGCACTTTGGAGTCCTACAAATATATACTGACACGCAAAAGAAACGCAACACCCTACTTTAGGTTGAAATGATTATGTAAAGTAAAAGATTTTAAATCTTAAAATTATGGACATCTTCAAATTGGTAACTATCGGTAATTTAGCGGTTGAAGGATCTTCATACCATAACCGGAAGTCAAGTTTGAGTCTACATAACAGAAATCGAAAATTGCATGTTTCACAAAACAGCTGGCAATATTATGGAGTTTTAAGGGTTTGTACTGTTCATCTTAAGTAATGCAGCAATATTTCAAAAAATAAAATCTCCTTTCGTTTCCCGTAACGACGTTCAAGCTTCTTGAAGATGGCTGAAGTGCGCATTTCCATTGCTCTAGCTGGCAAATCACAAAGTAAAGGAGATGGAGAGTTAATGATGCAAAAATACACTACATTACGTCTCATCAGGGTCTTACATATTTTATTCATAAATGATAGTCTTTGGGCCGGAAGTCCAAGGGTTACTATGTAATGCGCTAAGTTAGAGAAAATTCGACCTAATCATCTGAAAAACAGGCATTTAAAGATGGTAAAGAATAATTCCTTCGCTCAGATCTCGATATTAATTAACCTATTGTATCCTAGAAATTAAGCTGCTAATGTTGTTTAGGACAGTCTTGCATGTTGTAATTGAGAGGCTGAGAGGGGGGTGTTTTAAAAGACATATGTTACTTGGTAAAGTTAAAAGATAAACATTTAACATTTTATCAAATCTCAGATGTTTTGAAAAGTGAGTTTAGCCTTACTGTATTCTTTTTTAAAAATCATTAGATGAAAAATTCAAACATTTGTAGATTACTGCTTGTTGCGTTTCTTTTGCGTGTCAGTAATAAATTTGTGATTTATTTAGACAAAGACTGCAAGTTTTACTTATTACTCATGTATATAGTTAGCTAATTTCAATACTAGAAAGGCTCAAATCTTTTTTTTTTTTTTTTACTTATACATGTACTCCCTTAAAGTAAGATTCTGAACTAGTAGTAGAAACAGATCTATGTTCATGTGAATTTCAGAAGAAGAAAGTTCATTATGGTTAATTGTAAACACTATTAATACTTTTAAATCGATATGTTATACACATTTAAATCAGCGCATTTTTATGCCCCCGTAAACGAAGTTTCGGGGGTATATAGTTTTTGTCTTGTCCGTCTGTCTGTCTGTGTCTCTGTTTGTCCGCAAAAACTTTAATTTAACCTTGCCCATAACTTTTGATTTGGTGGAGTTTTGACTTTCATATTTCATATTGTTGCGCCTCCCACCTCGGGAGAGAGTGGGGCAACTGTGTGGGCTTTCCACTCTCGTATGTTAACTTATAAATTAATAATTAAGTCAGGATAAAAGTTCAACAAATAAAATTTATTTACACTATGTACAATTAAATGTAAGTATTGTTATAATAAAAATCACAATACAATATATATATCAGTCTCTTATAAAGTGAAGTCACTCCCACAACCCGTAGGTAATATCTAAATCTCCCAAAATAATTATAAAAATTAGCTACTTGTACTAAAATATACTTTCCTTGGTTTAATATAATTTATTTATGCCTATTCTGTAAGACCTATATAGTTTTAATAATAAATTGTAACTCCCATAAATTCTCCCATAAGTTTTCCCGTCGATGGGTCTCCCACTCTACTTATGGGTCTCCCAAAGGGATATCTCAGCGTCTCTATTTAATATAATTTGACTAATATAATTACCCATCTGGTCTGCATAGGGTCTGCCATCCCTTTAAATGACTGCCAATGATGGGAGCACTTGTAAGATAATAATCTGGAGGCTTCCGTATCCTCCCAACTTCTCCCCCTTCTACTCTAGCAGACGAAATTTTCGCTTCTTTATATACCTTTACTGTACCCACTGGTAACCTCAATTAGCCAATCGCTGACCCGGAATGACCCTACGCCACTTCCGGTATAAACAAATCAGGGAAAGTGCACGCAGAGAAGTTTTCTAATAGAAAATCATTACTAACCATACAAAATGGGATTTTATCTACCAAAATACGATAAGTACAAGTAGCTATTACGTTATTAAGTTGATTTAAACAATGACATTACAATGTTCAAAGACGAAACGTGATAATTGACTTCAAACATGCTATCGAGATCGAGACCGGGTCGAAATACAGTGAACCCGATTCTAAAACAATATTGACAGCATATAACTTATTTCTTTTACAACTTTTTATCAATTATTTAATAACAAACAATCACGTACATATCAATATGCTGATAACGACTGCATACGCTGCGAGTGATTGACTAAATACACAAAAGTGACGAAACGAATTTCGTAACATAGCCCCCTCCTGAAGAAAACATTCGTCCCGAATGCAACTGGACTTGGGTCTACTGAAAACATCACTTGCAGTTTTATATAAGTAAGTATGAATCAATATAATAACAATGCAATGAAAATGTACAATGACATGTATGCATAAAATGACAAGAAGTAGCATTAATGAAATATGATAATCAATCATATAACATTTAACTCGAATCCATATACTCATCGCAATGACTAATGCTACATGTAATTATTATATAAAAACATTTCGGCTACATCCATCCCTTAACTACTTGATATTTATAACAACAACAACAAAACAAAAGAAAGAACTGCACTTAGTTGGATTTACAATACTTCTCCTATCATCAAAACATTTGACATGAATGAGTATTTATAAAAATTGGACATATATTCCAAAACACACAAATCATATTTTATCTTCACAAATTACAGTTATTCCTCTGAGAACTCTTTGTGTCCAAAGATCATTACGTACAGCTGGCTACCAATTATTTCGACTAGCGTCTCTAATCTATAATATACCGCTTCGATGTGGATTTTCCTTAAGGTCCTTACGTCATTAGGTAAATGGCAATTAATGTTCTTCGGTCCATCTCTCATGTAATGGAGTATGACATCGAAGTAGGTGGCATCACGGTCAATAAAGTAGACTGGTAGGTTCCCTCTATCCAGTATATTATAAGCAGGTAATAAGGTGGGGTCCTCCATCATCCTTGCGAAAAGGGAATCAGGTTGGTTTGTAAGAGTGGCAACTGTCGTCACAAATAGTTTCCCGCCAACATCCAGACCAATACATTGTTGTGACACTAAGGGATGTGCGCTACCACTGGGGGAAGTCTGTATCGAAACGTCTCGTTTGTCAAACTCCCTCTCCGTCATAGTTGTTAGGGTTCTACTCGGTGTAGAGGTAACAGGAGGCTCCGTTATTGAAATATCGGGAGTAAGAAGATCTTCTTCATCTGACGAGTCACTTAAACTGTCCCCGAATAATCGTTTGAAAGACCTCCTCTGCGGTGTATCGTTCTTACTCTGACATGATGATGTTGACTTTTCCGACTGCAGGAGTGGAGACGCTGGGATGGACTTCTCAGTTGATAGGAGTGCAGGCGTTGGGTCGGACTTCTCGGTCGACATCGACAGGAGTGCGGGCGCTGGGTCGGACTTCTCGGTCGACAGGAGCGCAGGCCTTGGAGTGGGCATCTGGGTTGACAAGGGCGCAGGCGCTGTGATGGACTTCTCGGTCGACATCGACAGGAGTGCAGGCGCTGGGGAGGACCTCTTTGGTCGCTTCTTGGCATTCCGTCCTTGGTGAGGCTCCGTGTATATTGCTCTCTTTTTTGCTTGGCCCTGGTGGTACGGCTGATCGCTGAACACTAAGGGGAGCTCCTTCAGGAAGGGCACGACGTGTCTCCCTCTCCCACGTTGGAAGGCCTCAAACTCCTTCTCTTCCTCTATGGTGAGCGTGAGTGTTGATTTCTTCACTCTCTGCAGGGTCCTGCCTTCACACCCGTGTTTTTGATCTTTTCGTCCAAGTACGATCCCGCAAGTGGCACATAGGAACACGAACCCCGAGTGCACTGCAGTCATGTGCCTCTCACAGTGACTCTGTTGCGTGAACTCTCTGTCTTCTGTGCATAGTCCACATTTGAATCTTTGGATCTGTAAAGTAATAAAGGGATACTTAGTCCCTCATTTCTGACAACTTCCCAAACATTAATAATGGGCATAATAAAACTGCATAAGATGATTTACTAAAATTTCCGACAAAATGATTAGCTATTTAATATTCACTAAGCTACATATATTTCGAGGCAGATCCCATATTACTAGTTGGGTCTATTACTTCCTTTGTAAGGCTTCAACAAATTATAGTGAACAACCTTGGGTTTACTTTTTGTTGTTTTTCTAATTTTGTATATAACATCATTGATTCTTTTCAGAATTAAGTAAGGTCCCAACCAATGACACTGGAGCTTTGGTGATCCCATTTTATTAATATTATGGGCGTAGTACCATACAAGATCTCCCTCTTCATAACCTTGAAAATTTATCTTTGAGTTGTATTCTCTTAACATTTTTTCTGTAGCTAAACTCATTTTATCCCTAGCAAACTCATGTATTTTATCCATAGATTGAGACAATTTGTAAGCATATTCTGACATTTCTAATGTACTTTCAGGTTGTAGCCTTCCCAATACTAAATCGGCTGGGAGAGAAACATGCCTACCAAACATCATCTCACATGGACTTACGCCAGTTGACTCGTGCTGGGCTGACCTATAAGCTAACATGAGCAAGGGTAAATGTTCGTCCCAATCTTTCTGATTTTGAGAAACAAATGATGCTAACATATTTTCTATTGTTCTGTTTGCCCGCTCTACCAACCCATCTGACTGAGGTCTATATGGTGAGGTTCGGGTTTTCTCGATGCCTAAAATCCTACACATTTCCCTAAATACATCTGACTCGAATGATCTTCCCTGATCACTGTGGATTTGCATGGGTGTTCCAAAAATACTAACTATTCTATCAATTAACTTTTGAGCGACTGTGACAGCTTTCTGATTACGTATGGGTACCGCATCCACCCATTTTGTAAAATAATCGCCCATAACTAAGATGTAGAGATTTCCCTTATTGGATTTGGGCAATGGTCCCATAACGTCAATTGCTACCCTCTCTAAAGGAGCACCAACCACATATTTTTGAAGTGGGGCTCTTATTCTCCTATTAGGGGATTTTCTAGACTCACAGGTGTCACATGTCACACACCAATGTTTTGTATCAGTACTCATTTTGTACCAAAAATATCTTTCCCTTACTTTAGATAGGGTTTTCTTAATACCTAAGTGACCTCCTGTAGTACTATTGTGTAATAGGGTCAAAACTTCTCCCACTAAAGCTTTTGGGATCACTATACAATAATTTCTTTCTAACCCATCATGGACATAGTACAAGGTATTGTGTCTGTACTCTAAAGACTCGAATCGAACCCAATAAAATTTACAAGTCTCACTTAAATGGGATATATCTTCCCAACTGGGTTGAGTTCCATCTTGTACCCACTTAATAACATGCTTTAAATCTGGGTCTTCATTTTGATATTTTCCCACATCAAAATTTTCTGTGCTAATTAAACTTTCTTTATTTTCAGGTGCCTTTTGTTTCGACCTAGTTTCAACAACTGAACACATTTGTGTAGATTCTTCAGGTAGGTATTTTACCTCTGCTTTAGCACAGTATGTACACTCCACATCAGCACAAGGTCTGCGGGATAAAGCATCTGCATTCCCATGCAAGCGACCTGGCCTGTGTTCTATTTCAAATTGGTAAGAAGCTAATGTTTCTAGCCAACGGGCTATTTGACCTTCGGGATTCTTAAATTTCAGAAGCCATCGTAATGAACCATGGTCTGTTCTTATTTTAAATACTTGCCCATAAAGATAATGGTGAAAGTGTTTGATGGACTGAATAATAGCTAACAATTCCCGTCTAGTCACACAGTATCGGCGTTCAGCCGTATTGAATAGCTTACTATAGTAACTTATGACTTTTTCTTCCCCATCCTGGATTTGGGATAGTACAGATCCCATGCCAGTGTTTGAGGCATCTGTATCTATCACATATTGTCCCTCTTTCTTGGGATAAGAAAGTATTGGGCTGCTGGTTAAAGCTCTTTTCAACTTGTCAAAGGCTTCTTGACAGTCTGAGTCCCATACAAACTTTTGGGATTTTTCTGTTAATTTGTGCAAGGGCTTAGCTATTACAGAAAACCCTTGAACAAATTTCCGATAATAGGAACAAATACCTAGAAAACTACGGACATCCCTAACATTTTTAGGTGTGGGCCAATCTTGGACCGCATCGATTTTGTCAGGGTCAGTCTTTATTCCCTGTTCGCTGATAATATGTCCTAAGTATGCTACTTCCCTCTGTAAAAGTTTGCACTTTTTAGGGTTGATTTTAAGGTTTGCTTTCTTTAATCTACTGAACACTTTTTCTAAGTTCCTAAGGTGTTGGGAAAAATTAGGGGCTAAGACAATAATGTCATCAAGATATACCATGCAAATTTCCCACGACAAATGAGAGAGTACTTTTTCCATCAATCTTTGGAAAGTGGCCCCCGCGTTGCACAAACCGAATGGCATGACAGTAAAATTCCAATGACCACCCCCCGGGATTGAGAATGCTGTTTTAGGTTTATCTTCCTCTGCTACCTTAACCTGCCAATACCCACTTTTCAAATCTATAGTGGAATAGTATTTTGATCCCGAAAGGGCATCTAATATTGACTCTATCCTAGGAATAGGGTGACTATCCTTGATAGTTACCTCATTGAGTTTTCTAAAGTCTATACAAAACCTTATCGACTTATCTTTCTTTTTAACTAGAACTATAGGGGAGCTCCAGGGACTATCTGATTCTTCAATCACTCCCTTAGCTAACATATCTTTAATTTCCCTATTAACATCTTGCATTTTGGCAAGAGGAATTCTTCTTGGGGCTTGTTTAATGGGTCTATTATTCCCAGTATCTATTCTATGCTCTGCCATATTTGTAAGTCCCATATCCTCAGAATTTTTAGAGAAACAACCCTGATACTCTACAAGTAAATCTTTTAATTGCTCTTTTTCAATTTCTGTTATCCCAATACATGACTCTTCATACAGATTTTTCAAATGTTCTGGTAATTTAGTGGGGGTATCTTCTAAGCTGATTTCTGATATAGCTAAACTATCATCTTTTAACATGGAGACTTTCTCCATTCCTCCCATAAGGCTATTTTTATGGAGTTCAATTTCCCTATCTGACACATTCATGACTTTTAATGGGATTATCCCAGATGTGGGGTTTACAAGTGTCCTAGCCACTAACACTTCATGTTTACCCATAAATTCTATATTTGGCTCTACCAAAGCCTCATCCCATTTAGGAATAGAATCCAAAATTCTACCATGGGCAATAAACTCTGAGTTGGGAGGTACTTTCACGTCCTCCATTAATGCAACTCTAAAGGTACAATCTACCTCATCACTACTAAATCTAAAACAAGGGATCTCTTGACCCTTAACACGTAAACACATCTTTTGAACTAAGATATCACATGAATGTTCAGTCATGAAGTCTAAACCTAAGATACCGTTGTATACCGTGGCGTCGGTAGTCCAGTGGTTAAGGTGCCGGACTCCAAACCGAAAGGTTGTGAGTTCGAATCCTGGCCGCGACAAGCCGATGGGAAAGGCACTTTACACGAATTTCCTCACTCCACTCAAGTGTAAAACGAGTACCTGGCTATAGACAGTGAAAGATATTGTCAGAATGTTAGTGCTCTAGCGCTGATAACGGCAGCTTGCACTGAGAAAGATTCTGGATTGTTAAGGTCTGCTGGGGTAATAATGCATTGTAAAGCGCTTTGAGTAGCATTTATGCTAGAAAGGCGCTATATAAATACGATCATTATTATTATTATTATCTAATATCAGCTACTATCACTTTGTGGATGATTTCATTTTTCCCCATTTTAAAATGGACTTCACATTTCCCACTATTTGGTATTGGGTCCCCTGTAGCAGAGACTAGTTTCACATCATAGGGTTCTAAGGAAGGTGATTCCCCCTCAAAACATTTCTCTAAAAATTGGGTACTAACAATGGTAACATCTGCCCCAGAATCTACTAAAAATCTGCATTCTTTCCCATTGATTTGTGTGGGAACAAATATACCTGATTCGATTTTGCTTGCATTATGAACAATTACTTTGGTAGCTTGAGAAAGGGTTTCTTTTGGGCCAGATTTCTCTCCCATATCCCTCTCAACTTTTTCATTCCCATCCCCCTCATTTGAGGTCAAAAGAGTATCATTAACCTTTGATTCATTTTTATCTTCACCTACAATTTCTTGAAACTTTGTTTCATTTTCCCGGGGTTTTATTTCAACCTCTTCTAATGGAGTGGGTCTTCCCCCAGATTTTGTCGATTTCCGACCCCCGAAGCCGACACAGGAAGGTTCTCTGTTGTTTCCCCGAACTTGAGTTATTTCCCTTTTTGGGACCTTGATTTTGGGTGCTACCATTTTGATTTCCCCAAGAATAACCATTCCCATTTTCTTTTTTATTATTTGGGCCATTATAACTGGATTTTTGAGCTTTCCAACCCTGGTTATTTTTCTGATTCCAATTTTTCCAATTTCCTTTTTTAAAAGGTGGACTGGGATTTTGTATTCTGGTTGTTTTTTCTAACCTTTCTATGTTTTCATTTAATCTCCCCAATAATTTGGTCAATTTAAATAAATCTTGGGTGTTACCACTCCCACTAGCATCTATGGCGTTTACATTGTTCAACTTTGCACACGTCTGTGTATCCGCCAACCTATAAGTTTCTAACCTAATTGCTAGAGTTTCGGCTTCATTTATATCCCTAGGTCGGGCCTCCCTCAGGCGCAGCCTAATGTCGGGATCTGGTAACGCGTCTATAAATTGGTCTAATGCTAATACGTTAGTGAGACTGGGCTCAGCGCTGGGATAGGCTTGTCTGGTTAATTTTTTTATTGCCTGGGCCAGCTCAGAGATGCTCTCATTTTGACCCCTCACCCGGGTTTTCAATCTTGCCCTAAACATTTCAGATCTTTCTGTGGCCCCAAAGCGTCTTTTCAAGGCTGTTATCAGGGTGTTATAATCCCTTCTCTGACCTGGGCTCAACTCTCCCAACAAACTACATGCATCTTTAGCTAAATGACCTGCTAAGTGTAAAGATTTAGTTTTGTAATCCCAATTATTAAGGTCTGCGACTATCTCAAACTGAGAGAGATAATCATCAAAATCTTCATTCCCATCAAATATCCTAGGTTTAGCCCTTTCCCTCGGGGGATCCCTAGTGGGTGTTAACACATTCCTATTCCCATTGTGATCGGGAGTGCTAAACCTGTTTAAATTGGGTACACTGGGTAACTGATGGTAATCTCCCATCCCTGACCTTGAATCTTTTCTACTAAATTCTGGGAGGTCACCTGTAAAATTGAATTGAGATCCTATCATCCCTCTATTTATCCCATTCTCTTCTCCCACTCTATATTGGTCATATGAACTTGGGTGTCTATTTTCCCTAACATTGTCATTACTTAAATGTGATGGGATTTGATACAGGGGTCTATTATTTATGTGGGCATCTTTTACCCTTGTTTGATCCCGTTTCCATAAATTCTGGGATTCGTGTTTTAACTTAAAAATCTCTTCCTGCATATTCTCTAACCTCCCATCAATTTCTTCCCTGATGCTTACAAATTGCTCTCCTATCTTTTGATTCATTTTTGCAAATTCACTAGAAAATTGCTCTTGTAAAACCTTAACTAATGACACATTTGCATTTTCAGATATGGGAGACATGGCTGCTGAGATACCTTCTGTGGGAGCAGGGACTTTCCCGTTATCCGCAATGGATCCAGCGGGACTGAAAATTTGCTGACCTATGGGTTTGAAAGTGACTTCCCCGGACTCTTCTAAATCTGACATTTCTGTGACTTTTTTTTTTTATTTTTTTTTTTATTGTACACTATGAAATTCAATGATTGTAAAATTTTGAATTTAATAAAGCTAACCGAGAACGTGGAAAATTTCTTCCCAATCAAAGGGACTTGATCCCACTTCTGACACCAGTGTTGCGCCTCCCACCTCGGGAGAGAGTGGGGCAACTGTGTGGGCTTTCCACTCTCGTATGTTAACTTATAAATTAATAATTAAGTCAGGATAAAAGTTCAACAAATAAAATTTATTTACACTATGTACAATTAAATGTAAGTATTGTTATAATAAAAATCACAATACAATATATATATCAGTCTCTTATAAAGTGAAGTCACTCCCACAACCCGTAGGTAATATCTAAATCTCCCAAAATAATTATAAAAATTAGCTACTTGTACTAAAATATACTTTCCTTGGTTTAATATAATTTATTTATGCCTATTCTGTAAGACCTATATAGTTTTAATAATAAATTGTAACTCCCATAAATTCTCCCATAAGTTTTCCCGTCGATGGGTCTCCCACTCTACTTATGGGTCTCCCAAAGGGATATCTCAGCGTCTCTATTTAATATAATTTGACTAATATAATTACCCATCTGGTCTGCATAGGGTCTGCCATCCCTTTAAATGACTGCCAATGATGGGAGCACTTGTAAGATAATAATCTGGAGGCTTCCGTATCCTCCCAACTTCTCCCCCCTTCTACTCTAGCAGACGAAATTTTCGCTTCTTTATATACCTTTACTGTACCCACTGGTAACCTCAATTAGCCAATCGCTGACCCGGAATGACCCTACGCCACTTCCGGTATAAACAAATCAGGGAAAGTGCACGCAGAGAAGTTTTCTAATAGAAAATCATTACTAACCATACAAAATGGGATTTTATCTACCAAAATACGATAAGTACAAGTAGCTATTACGTTATTAAGTTGATTTAAACAATGACATTACAATGTTCAAAGACGAAACGTGATAATTGACTTCAAACATGCTATCGAGATCGAGACCGGGTCGAAATACAGTGAACCCGATTCTAAAACAATATTGACAGCATATAACTTATTTCTTTTACAACTTTTTATCAATTATTTAATAACAAACAATCACGTACATATCAATATGCTGATAACGACTGCATACGCCGCGAGTGATTGACTAAATACACAAAAGTGACGAAACGAATTTCGTAACAATATGTATATTCCTTGTGGCAAGACCTTTCTTAGGGTACCACCCAATTTGACCTTTTGAATTTGACCTTGGAGTTTGACCAACTTTTACATGAAAATTTTAAACTTTTTCTTTGGCCATATCTTTTGAAAAGTAGATACCAGGACATTTATACTTCACATATCTAATGTTTGTTGAAAGACCTTTCATTGGATACCAACAACCTTGACCCTTTGACCTTGACCTTGTAGATTTCCGTACTTGTGGAAAAAACTTTAACCTTGGCCATAACTTTTGAACGGTAAGTAATAGGACTTTCATACTTCATATATATAATCCTTGTGAGAAGACCCTTCGTTGGTGTACCAACAAATTTGTCCTTTTGACCTTGACCTTGGAGTTTGACCCACTTTTACATGAAAATTTTAAACTTTTACTTTGGCCATATCTTTTGAACAGTAGATACCAGGACATTTATACTTCACATATATAATGTTTGTTGAAAGACCTTTCATTGGCTACCAACAACCTTGACCTTGTAGATTTCCGTACTTGTGAAAAAACTTTAACCTTTGCCATAACTTTTGAACGGTAAGTAATAGGGCTTTCATACTTCATATATGTAATCCTTGTGAGAAGACCCTTCGTTGGTTACCAAGAACTTAGACCCTCTGACCTTGACCTTTGAGATTGACCTACTTTAAAAAAGCAAACCTTGACCATAACTTTGAAAGAGTTAGGGCTAGTGCTTTCATACTTTACACATTTGATTCTTATGACAAGACCTTTCATTTGATAACAAGAACGTTGACCTTGACCTTGGAGTTTGACCTACTTTTAAAAAAAAATGAACGTTGGCCATAACTTCTGAATGGTTAGGACTAGGGCTTTCATGCTCAACATAAGTATTCTATGTGGCAAGACATTTCATTTGATACTAATTACATTGACCTTTTGACCTTGACCTTGGAGATTTTTGTACTTATTTAAAAAAAACTTTAACATTTGGTTACTTTTAAATTTCACAATTTTTTTTCCAGTGAGAATACCCTACTTTTGGTACTATTTAGTTAAATTTGCATTTAAGAAAAGCTTAATCTTTGCTATGCTGCCATACGGGGGCATCAGTGTTTCACAAACACATCTTGTTTGCATCTTTAATGAGGGTCATGTTATCTTTTCTTGTCCCCCGCTTTCGCGAAAGCGAGGGGACATTTAAACTCATTCGTCAGTCTGTCCATCTGTCAGCCTGTCACAAAAACTTGAACCTTGCCCATAATTTTTGACTTAGTGGAGTTATGACTTTCATATTTCACTTGAGTATTCCTTGTGACAAGACCTTTCTTTGGGTACCATCAAATTTGACCTTTTGACCTTGACCTTGGAATTTGACCCACTTTTACTAAAAAATTCCAAACTTTTACTTTGACCAAATCTTTTGAATGGTAGAAACTAGGACTTTCATATTTCAAATATGTATTTTATATGACAAGACCTTTCACTGGAAACCAATAACTTTGACCTTTTGACCTTGATCTTGGAGATTTCCGTACTTATGAAAACCTTGACCATAACTTTTGAACGGTAAGGGCTTTACATATATAATCTTAGTAAGAAGACCTTTCATTGGATACCACAAACTTTGACCCTTTGACCTTGACCTTAGAAGAAGACCTACTTTTCAAAAACTTTGACCTTGATCACAACATCACAACTTTTGAACGGTAGATACTAGGACTTTCATATTTTACATATGTATTCTTCATGGCAAGACCTTTCATTGGATATCAACAGCTTTGACCTTTTGACCTTGACCTTGAAGATTTCACACTTGTGAAAAACTTCAACTTTGATCATTACTTTTGAATGGTAGGGGCTAGGCTTTTTATACTTCGCGTGTGTAATCCTTGTGAGAAGACCTTTCTTTGGATACCAAAAACTTTGACCCTTTGACCTTTACCTTGGAGTAAGACCTCCTACTTTTTAAAAACTTTTACCTTGGCCACAAGTTTTGAACAGTAGATACTAGGACTTTCATATTTCATATATGTATTCTTTGTGGCTTAAAAACAACCTTGACCTTTTGACCTTGGAGATTTTTCGTATTCATAAAAAACTTTAACATTGACCATCGCTTTTGAATGGTAAGGGCTAGGGCTTTCATACATTACATATGTAATCCTTATGAGAAGACTTTTCATTTGATACCAAGAACTTTAACCCTTTGACCTTGACCTTGGAGTTCAGTGATAATTTCTAAATAAATGGCATATAATAGGGTGTTCATATTACACACAATATGTCATAAAAATGACATTGCTCCCACAAAGACACCAAAAGCGGAGGACCACAATACCTTGAATTTGCTTGTTTATATTAACATCATGTTTGCGAAATTCTTCTGTTTCTAGTATTTTTTTAATCAAAGATTTTTTTTAATCCAACATCTTATTTGCAATATAAATATAAATGTCATGTACATCATTCCATTATGGAGTGGTGCCATCGTGTTGGTTCTTACTATTTCATTTTCCGGTGCATTGCTCCATGGAAACACCGATGTCTCTGTTCCCTCAAACGAACATACTGATCCAGATGTGAACAAACAACTGCTTCATCTAGTTTATAGAGAAATGGCGACATTGAAAGAACAAAATCTGCAACAAATAAGGCATCTGAAGAACAGCAACAATTAATACAGGTGCTCAACCAGACGATTCAGAACCTAGAAGCTTCATTTCGAGACGTTAAAAGCGAAAACAGTTTCTTGAGCGATAAACTAGACAGCCTGAATTCTACATGCTGTCAACAAAATTTTACTTATGTCGATAACATCAGAAAAGAGCTTCAACTTCAGATATTGAAACTATCGCTTACCCTTTTGGATGTTCAAAATAACATCTCAGCGCTTCGAGCATCACTCCATCAACAACAGAAGACGCAAACGGAACAACATAAACTAACTCAGACAGGAATGCAAAATCTCACTTTTTCACTACATAATAGCACAGCAAAAATGAGTTCTTCCCTGTCTAATCTCCAAATACGTATGCATATAAAGGTATTTTTATCTTCTTACAGTAGAGTTATTTTTTTTATAGTAATGCGCTTGTGTGTTGGGGGACTGGTGTTTCTGGGTTCGTTTGTCCTTCTGATCGTAACGGAAGCTACGCAATTTGCATCGAGAAGGATGTCAAATGCCGCGAACTAGAGGGAACTACAAATACCATAGGAGAATAATGAAATGTGGAATATAATTACAAGTAAAAAATTCATGTTTGTTTCCTTGTTTAACGTCCCCTACGAGAAATTTTCCTCATATTGAGACGGAACCGCTTGTTAGTGGGGGTTGCAAATTTAGACCTTTATGATCGGCGCTCTGGGTTATTGAGCAGGGAAGGATTCTTTATCTTGTCGACGTCTACTGCGAAACGGGACCTAGGCTTATAGGATTGGTCTACATGCATGTTCCAATGGAATTCATGTGACTTAAGGGGTTCTCTACGTCACAACATGGGTACTTCCGTTTTGATCTGATCTGATTCTGTCCTAAACAAATTTACTTTACACCGATAATTAAATCACCGGGTATAAAACAACTTGCGACGGAATGTACATTGTATCACCTCGAGGCGACGAGAATGCCCCAATCATCCTTTCTTAAACATGGTTTGTTTGTCGATTTATTATTAAATTTCTACTTATTTAATCACAACAAAATATATTTACGAACTTATTTGAAGCATAGGGATATTTCACTTAAATGCCCTCTCCCCCAATCAATAGTATAAATGTTGTCGGAAATATGTCCTTCAATGAGAATTTATGAGAAATTGAAAAAAAAAAGAGGAAAGACCAGAGTGTCTAAATGTAGGGGAGGGGGTCCTACCCTTCAGCATAGGGATATCTGATCTGATAACTTCTTTGTATGAGTAAATGGTGATAAAATGTGAAATCAACTGTATGACATAACTGATGTCTTAATAGGATGCTCGAATACTATTCAGTGACAAAATTGCCAAATGTTATACATGTACAATGAACACTATTCTAAACTGTCCTTTAAACTTTTTTATAATTAAAGATTAATTAAAGAAAAAAGCAAAATCACTAAATTATTTGTTAATGATCATTATTACAACTTTTTCATTTTATTTTTTTTACAGTGTAATGAAAGTTGTTGGATTTTTTTTACTCTTAAAGGAGTTGGAGCTGGTGATAACAGACTATTTTATACTGGACGACCAATTATATTCAAACATGTATACCAAGTAGGAGGGGGAGACAATCCTACAACAGGAGTGTTTACTGCCCCAAAGGCTGGACTCTACCTCATATTCAGTGCAGTTGTGGCAGAATTTCATGAAACCTACTGGGCACAAATAATAATTAATGGATCGGATAAGGCAGGAATGATGGCTTATTTTGATTCAGGTGATTCGTATGCACACCAATCAGCCTCCAACCTTGTTGTTCATCAGTTACAAGTGGGAGACAGAGTATGGATACAGAAGCTTCAAGGTTCTACTTTGTACCCACATTTTGTAGAAACATCCTTCTTTGTCATCATGATTAATGGACCATTCTAATATCGTCACCGGAACATTCCTGTACATAACTAGAAGTGAATAGTTTCCAAATAAAATCTGTGTGATTTGTTCGAAATATTTTGACATAAAAAGAATATTGTAGCGTGAAACCTAATAATATATATATTTACAAATAGCAAAGGCGGCTGAATCCCCTCAGTTAACTTTCTGAGGACCTGGCAGGTTCAATATATACAAATATGTGATTAAGCAATATATACAGATAAATGTTAGACTACTTATCTTTAATCAATTATGTACAAAAAATCAAAGTGATGCTGGCTCTTAACTTCTTAAGCCATCGGCTCTTGCGGCTCCTACAGTCTCTTTTCTTTAATACTGGCTCTTACAGCGCAGTTCATACAGTTCGGCTCTTGCTGGCTTCTGTAGTACAGCTCTTGCTGTAATAACAAACAATATCTAAAGCCAGGGAAGACTTGTTCAGTCACGTCTGAAAGCTTTAAATATTTCATTTATTATCATAAACTAAAAATTACCTCTCGTAACAAATGGTCCGCTTGTCTTACCGCTTCAGCATCAACTTCGCAATTGAATTAATTTGCCGCTTCTCCTATGTTTATAGTCTCTGTGCTAGAATAACGCCACCTAGCGGAACAAGACTATAAAACAAGACTTGCACCAGAATATCTTTTCCCGGATTGTCTCATTACCCTAGCCTCAAAATCCATGCGACATCGCATGCTTGTTTTTGTTTTTGTGTGTTTTTTTTTATATATATTTTTTTTTCTTTTTTTATATTATAAAACAATTTAGCTATCTGCTTTTTTGATCGTTTCAAAGTAATGATTAATCACGTGTAGATACATTCAACAACAAAAAAAATATGAGCATAAACTACAGTAAATTAACAAAGCAAATGTCAGCTCTTCTTTCACAGAGTCTTATGTCTCTCAACCTCCTCAATCTTCTTCAATCATGACAATGTGCTCTATGTCTTTTTCACCTTCCTTCCACTTAGCAATGGTCCACTCTACTCTACGAACTTTCCTTTCTGTCTGGGTACCAGCCTCAGTAACCTGGGATCTTCTTATGGAAGGACGTGTTGGGAGTCCAGAAGATGCAACAAGAGGATCCTTGCGCTTAGGAGCAAATATCGGCATGGGAGTGGTAGGTTTTCGAAAGATTCTCCCAATGTTTGCATCCTCATTATCGTGTTTTGTAGTTGGCTCCTCTTCCTTCTCGTTATATGTCTCAGAAACATCGCCTAAAATGCTCCGCAAATCCCCTGGGTCTGCTGCTATCCATTCTTCGTCAGACTTTCCTCCATCAGTTTCCTGTGAGAGACTATTCTTATCTTCTGAAGGTGACTTAAATTGTTACTTGCTGTTTCCTTGTCACTTTCTTGATTCTTGGAACGTGAAGATGTGATCTGTTGATCATCTTTATTCTGGACTTCCAGCTCAATGTGCCTCTTCTTGTGTCTGGTAAGATTTCTCATCTTATTAGTGGTAAAGCTGCAATCTTCCCTATCACAAGAAAATTTTCTCTCAAGATGTTTCAACCCACATTCCTTGATGTGCTTAGTCACCTCTGCCATATCATAGGTCTTAAATGGACACATCGGGCATTTTGCTTCTTTTCGAAGCGTAAGCTTGGTTTGAGGCATTGTCTAAAATGAAAAAGAAATATTATTTTTTTTTATGAATGGTGCCATAGCATAAGGTAATAATACGTACGTCAAAAGATAATAGAGTAACAGAGTAAAATATACAACAATTCTTTCTAACAAATACTGAGTTATATATCAACAATGTAATCGGAGAGATACCGGTATCTTGGTCTTCGTCTCTATCTGCGATTTTCGGGTTCAATGCTACTATTGCTCTCTAGCGTCAAAGTTTCCTCCTCCGGAATATCATCATTACATATCTCTTGGGTATCAGAAGTAGCTACTTGTTCTTCCCTCAACACTTGGGTATTCTTTGGCCTCATACGATTGACATGTATGACCTGAGATTTTCCGTTTGCACCACAGTTAACTTTGTATGTGACATCAGAAAATCTTTCCTGTACTATGAATGGACCTCGCCAAAACTGTGTAAGCTTGGGAGATTTACCTACAGCTTAAAAGTGAGAAATACACATAAACCTCATCTCCTTTTTTCAAATGTCTGCCAACTTAACTTTGTGTCATGTAGACTTTTTGTCTGAGCATGGAGCCTATTGAATTGTTTCTCACGAACGAATGTGCTAACTCCATTTTCTCTTTGAGCTCCCAAACCCACTTCTGAACAGGAATCTCCTTCAAAGTAGATGGCATTTCAAAAAGAATATCCAGAGGTGTACCAACCTCTCTTCCCACCATTAAATCATTGAGCCTATAGCCAGTGGTCTCATTTTCCACCGATCTGTAAGCCATCAAGACATAAGGTATAACAGATCATCCCAGTTTGACTGATTCTCATCCACAAGAGTTCTCAACATCGTGAGCAAGGTTTTATTAAACATTTCAACAAGTCCATCACATTCTGGGTTATAAGGACTAGTACGCGTTTTCTTTATATTCAATATTTTACACATTTCAGTGAAAATTTTCCCTTCAAACTGCGTCCCTTGGTCTGAATGCACAGATCCTGGAACTCCAAATCGTGATATCACCTGCTCAACCAACAGTTTGGCAATAGTGACCGTTTCCATATTTGGCATTGCAAATGCCTCGACCCACTGTGTGAAATAGTCACAGATTACAATATGTATCTGTTGCCTTCCTCCGTTCGAGGCAATTCTCCCACGATATCAATACCAATCCTTTCCATTGGCATACCAGCTCCCAATGTTTTCATTGGAGCTCTTTTCGTTTTCGTAGGACCTTTAGATCTGGTGCAAATTTCACATCCTTCCACATAATGTCTCACGTCTCTTTGCAAACCAGGCCAATAAAATCGTTGTCTAACTTTACTTAGTGTCTTCCTCACTCCTAAGTGTCCTGCCGTTTTGTGATTATGACAGTATTCAAGAACTTTGCGTCTGTCCTGAAATGGAATGATCGCCTGCAAGGTCCGTTTTGGCTTTGTGATAAAACAGCTCCTATGGCCATGTCGCTCTCATCTGTGTCGAGAATGAAAGGTTTACTGAAGTCAGGGAAAGCTAGTATAGGTGCATTGACTAAGAAACTTTTCAATTGATCAAATGCACACTGACATTCCTCAGTCCACTTAAATTTGGCATCTTTGTTTGAAAGCTTGTGCAAAGGTTTAGCAATCTTTCCAAAATCTTTCACAAATCGCCGATAGTAGCTGCTTAACCCAATGAATGATCTTACTTCTTTTACAGTTGTCGGTTCTGCCCAGTGTTTGATAGTCTCTACTTTTTAGGATCTGTTGCTACTCCGGCCTTGGAAATAATATGCCCTAGCTATTCAACTTGCTCTCCGAAAAGAGTACATTTCTTGGCTTTCAATTTGAGTCCAGCTGAATGCAATCTGTGAAAGACTTTCTGCAACCTGTCATTTCCTCAAAGGTTTTGCTAAACAAAATAATATCATCAAGATATATAAGACATATGTCCAATTGGAGACCATACAGGTCTGTCTCCATGAGCCGTTCGAAGGTCACAGGAGCATTGCATAGTCCGAACGGCATTACCTTAAACTGATATAAACCCTTCTTTGGAATAAACGGAATCTACTTCAACCTGCCAATGAGAGATCAAGGGTTGAAAACCAACAGGATCCTGAAAGATGATTCAAGGACTCATCTATCCTCGGAAGAGGATAGGCGTCCTTGATAGTAGCGTCGTTCAATTTTCTACAATCTACGCAAAATCGTAGGCTCCCATCTTTCTTTCTGACAAGAACTACTTCTGCAGCCCATGGACTTGTTGATTTTTCTATGACATCTGACTTGAGCATCTCTTGAATCTGTTTGTCTATACTGTCCTTCCAGTGAACGGGGGTTCTTCTCAGAGGTTGTCGTATTGGTACTCTTGATCCTGTATTAATGGAGTGTTTAACAATATCTGTCCTTCCAAAATCCCTGTCATCTTTGGAAAACAAATTCATATTCCGCAAGAGTAAGGACCTCAGTTTTTCGGCTTGATCTATCAAGCAATTCCCCGAGAGCTTTGGGTAATTCTTTTAACTGCTTAGTTGGCGCTTTATGCGATTCCTCTACTATGCCATCAACTGGTGCCAAATTTGAACACAACAGTTCCACTATGAATGACTTGTACATCTGGACTAGAATTCATCAGTCGACAAGGAACCGAGTTTTGGGTCGTGACAAGCACCTTGCCAATTATCCTCCTTTCAGATTTTAAAAATCTGTATCGCCTTCTAGTATCCCTAAACCTTTTGGCAATGGCTCCTTGTCAGGTAAACACACGTTACACCTTGTGACTATTTCAGACCTAGGTGGTATATAGATGGTTTCTGCCACAGAAACATTGTAACATCCAATATGGCCCGCTTTATTCAAAGGTGATGGTCTCCCATTAATTTCTAAAGTCTGCGTTGTTAAGTCGATGACACATTTATTTCCGATCTAAAAGTCTAAGCCCAAATCAACAGTCAGCTCTGTAACAACAACTTCGGTGGTGTACAAAATATTACTTATTAGGACTGGAATATTGAGTTTCCCATATATCGTAAGAGGATCATTCTTTGCCGAAAGCACTGGCTGGCTGACTTTCTCTAAAGTTTCAAATGAACTGTTGCTTTCGAGAAGTCTGTCATATACATGTTTAGCCAAAAGAGACAGCGTTGCTCCTGTGTCAACCAAAATGTTTAAATCAACACCATCAATAGATGCTTTAACAAAAATACCAGCATCCCCAGTAATCCCTACTTTTTCAGAAGACCCTATTTTGCCAGGCTCTTTCGTTTGTTTTATTCCTCTCTGCACTGGGTGGTTTGCATTTGTATTCTGAGGATTTTCTTTTGAGCGACATTCCTTTTTGAGATGCCCTTTCTTGCCACAATTAAAACAAGTAGCAGTTTTCTTCCATTCAGGTGTCTTTGTCAATTTGTCTTTTTGCAGATC